ATATTTGTGGGTCAACGATGTACGTCGATTGTGAAACGTTAGTAGCCTCAGTGGGATTCGAACCCACGCATGGACGCCGCCTGCGCTTTGTACGCGCCTGCTCTACCAGCTGAGCTACGAGGGTACACCGACAGCACTGATCTTTTCGCATTCGAATTTACCCATCCAACTATTTGAACAGGTCAACGATGTGTCCAGTTGCCATGAGATGTTTTGCGGTTGATGACCCTGGATTTCTCTTATGCGTGGGTTCGAATCCCACTGAGGCTACTGAACGTTTCACAATCGACGTACATCGTTGACCCACAAATATCGTTCAAGCCATTAGTACGTAACTTGAACCCCAGGATTTTGGCTTTTAGCGAGGCGATGCTAATCAAGTTACGTAACCCAATCCTGTGTGCAAAATGTTCCTTACACAATCAGTTAGACTGCCATGGACCTGATTTCCCACCCCACCCTCTCCACCGCTTCCCTGACTATTGTCCGTTTTACCACCGTAGTTATCAAAACTTGCTTGTATAAATGCCAGATTGTTTTACGTTGTAGCGACTGAAGAGATTAAAAGAAATGCTTACATCTCGCAGTATTTGTCTCCTTTCGGTTCTAACGAATTAAATATAGGGGACCCAATGTTTTAAATTTGGTATTTCGCCGAAATGCTGTAAAACTATCGCCTAGCAATTTGAGCTTGCGAGCTGAGCACAATTGTAGCACTGAAAGCTATCATAACCCTATTCACGCTGTCGATACATTTTGTCAAAAATGAACTTCACTACCGTAACCTCGATTGGTATTTCCTTGAAATCCTACCCTCTCCTCTTGTCTGATAAATCACAGCTTGCCCACCCGATCAAATCCACGAAGCTCCTTGTGGACCACCGACCGGTTGTCTAGGTCGTACCTACATTCAGTCTTATCGTTTCGATACCAAGACCGGACATTGTGTAGGACAAACGAAAATACGTCAACGACGATGCTGTAAGTTTCATAAGGCTGTTCATCCCGCATAAATTCCTGTATTGGCGTGAGTGACCATCGGGAATCGTTGTATTTGGTGAAAAGGGAGATCTGGCAATCGTAACACAGCTTCTGTGCTTCTGTGATTAGCTCATTTTAACCGGGTTAGCATCATACGATTGGAAGACGAGAAGTAAACTCATTCAAGCCAGCAGTAGGTTTAATCAGTAGGACATTGCATTCGTTGTCCGAATAAATTCATCCAAACGAAGCACCCATGCATGGATTCCACCGATGTTACTGAACTTTTCACAATCGCCATACAAACATCAGAAATAATCTAGATGCATTTTATTCCTACTCCCAAATTCCGAGAACCTCCCTATCAATGCACAGAATGATATATCTTGGTTCATAAACGGTCATATTAAATTGATATCACCAGAAAAACTGCTTCTTCTTATCCTCCCCCCGAGTCCACCACTGACTGGTTGGTGTTGATTCCCGCAGAACGAACTAAGTCGTGATCCTTTCTCTACCCTCTTGCTTCCCGTCAAATGTTATTTAAATACATCCCTTGAAGATGCCGGCTTTTAGTCCTGTAAGTAATATAAGTTGTAAGGTGATCGGGGAAACCCTTCTGCTGGGACTGAAAGACATCGTGCAAGAACAAAAGCAATGCAAGTAATGGCTAGGTATCCGTCATTCACTGCATGTGCTTGCTACCTCATATGAACTCACCCATTACCTGGTGAGTGACGTTTTATGCGTCCTTATGTATCTCTTAGTTAGTTAGATAACCAAATGTTCAACGATCACAGCGGTGGGTATATTCTTCTAGCTATCAGGCAGAGCATTCGCCGAGTTTATGCCACTGTCCTCATCCTAACGCAACTTTCCCCAGTTGGATTAGATGTAAAAAGCCATAAGTCATAACAGAACAGCATCGGGTGGAATTTCGCAGTACTTAACTGACGGTTCCTTTTCTGTCTTTAAGGTTGTACACAACGTCCAAAAGATCGAGAGATTTGTGTGGGAAATCGACTATACCACTATTCGTTGATTTGGCGAATGGACAAGCACGGCACATGTACACAGCATACTGTAAAACGGGATATCACAGCCAACGTACAGCAGAGTAAGTCTACAGTTTCGTGATTTTCTGCTTGTACAAATCTTGATGCGATCATAGTTGATGAATGAAACAGTGAGTGATACGATTGATGCTCTTTGTACTGTTGCACTCAGTAGGCTGTAATGAAAGGTGCTTAGTCATAAAATGTATGAGTAAAGGGTAGGATAGCCACCAGACAATCCTGATTAGTACTGACACAACGGATATTATTAAGTTTACAATAAGTAAAGTACTGTGTACGTTTACACGTAGTAATTGACATATAACTACTTGAACTCTGGATTCTACATGTCTAGTTTCATTAACCTAGCAACAAACAATCACTGAGCCACCCCGAATGTGGTTCAGTCAGTAAGCTTAGCAAAACCGTGGAGACCACACTCCACTTTGTCATTGAACGTCTGACTTTCCGCGATCTCAAATCTTCCCCTTCCCATTGAATCTCTTCCCTTTTCGCAGAATGTTCTCCAAGCCTAATTATCAAAACCGAGCCATGCAATGNGGAAGTGCGGTACAATGGAGGATCCACAAAATGATGAAGGGATGCGAGTGCAAGGTTTGTGCCATACGTTGCTTTACACCGGCCTCCAATACACGTCCTCCAACAAAACTGTGTACCACCCAAATCCATTGTCCAGGTCAAAACTAAATCGCGTGCAGTGTAGACACAGTTTGACAAGTGAATGATCTTCATGGACATAGAAACGTAGCTACCGTTCGATTAGGTGTACTGTTTGATGCCCGTACCTAGTTAAAAACATTACTATTCTGTCTTGAAAACCAGGAGGTAAATTTGGGAATGAAAATCGATAATATTGTGAGGGTTTTCAGCTGTTGGTGACTTCGATATGTCTCTGGGATAAACTAAATAGGTTGAAATCATTTTTTATGGTGGATTTCACGAGTCATCATTATAGCTGTCACTTACGTGTATTATCTATATGATACCTACTATTCCACACACGATCAGAAAATGTTTTCTCATAGAGAATAAAAAGCATGTAT